AGGCGAGAAGGCCATGGGTGAGTTCCGTAGACTTTCCGCCCTTGCTCTGGCTTGTACTTTTTTTGCGCTCAACCTAGTTCCGTTGCGTTTGGCACAGAGCTGGAGAAAGAAGTCACCCAGGCAGCCGAGGCCTCCACCGCATGATCTTGTGTGCTTGAAACCGAGATCGTGAAGCATGATGTTGAAGAGCGCCCGCCCATCTTACTGCGAGGCCACGGAAGTCGAGGGGGGTCGGTCAGAAGCTCTCTCGGGAGCCCGCTGGTTGCGTTGAGCGACCAGATCTGTGAAGCGACCGAGGGCGCCATCACGAGCGTCAAAGCGATTGGCCGTCATCGCCTCGCACTACGTCGGCGTTGACCTCCAAGCCATCAGCGATGGCTACGTCCTGCCCGATGATGACGAGGAGGCCGACGAGGCGGTGACGAAGCTGATGGAGGCGGCGGAGGGTCCCGGCGCGGCGCTGGCTGGGCTGTTCGAAGAGGAGGTTGTCCCTCCTCCGCCGTCCGCCAATGCTGGAGACCCTGCGCCATGACCTGGGCCCAAGAGGCTGTGTAATTAGATTAGGGATTATGTTGCCCTATCATAACGTTGGCGGCTATTGACGCCTTTTTAAAGTGATCGTGCGCCGATGCTTTTTCAATCGTTTTTTCTTATTGTATTTCCGAGCCTCTGCCCTCTGTCTTGTTTCTGAACGTATCTCTTGTAAAAAACTTCCTCGGAGCCTAAGTTGCCCCTTGGGTAGAAGGTGGTGAGGGAGTGCCGTAGCTTGGAGGCGTAGTCCGTCTCGCGACTCAGCCGGCCTTCTGACCTTGAGACAGTCTTTTGGTCCTTAGGTTCTTTCACAATCGATTTGTCAGAGCACGCTAGAGAGTTCGGCGTAGGAATTTTTTCGAAAAATGACTTAAGAACGGTGCGTGGGACTTAGGGGGGGAGTCCCCCCTTCTAGCCCCCCGAGGGAGGCTCGGTTCTGTAGAGACAGAGCAGAGCCTTCCTCGTGGTGTTATCGTAATGCCGAGCCCCGCGATGGGCTCGGTGGGTTTCTAGAAAATTTAGAACAACTAAAGAACGCTTCTTTATTGTTTTCCGAGAAACAATGTATACAATGCTTGGAAATTCTAAGGGTAGAAACGACGTAGCTGTTCTATGTTCCAAGCGTTGTTGAGGATTTCGCCCTTCTCGTTGGCCAGCTTGTAGGTCCCGGGCTTGAGCACCTTGGTGACGACGTACGGTCCTTCCCATGGCGGGGTCAGCTTATGGCGGCCCTTGTTGTTCTGCCTCAGCCTCAACACCCAGGTCGCCTACCTTCAGGTCTCGGCTTCGAATACATCGGGCCTGAAAGTGCCATAGGGCCTGCTGGTACTTGGCCGAATGTAGTAGCGCCACATCTCGGGCTTCCTCCAGTTGGTCGAGGGTGGCACTGATCCTCAGTGCCCGGTCGTCAGGGCAGGCTGGGTCGACTGGCACCCCTCGTCGTCAGAGTCAGAGTAGCCGAAACAGTAGTCGCTTGCGGCCAGGAAGCGGCGCATGGATTCAGGGTCTCGTAGTCCGGAGAAGTCTACCCCGGCCCACGCATTGTCCTCCTCCGAGGAGTCAGCGTGGGTGTGGCTCAAAGTCGTGGTGTCGAAGTCGAGGGCGAAGCATTGGTGGCGTTCTGAGGGCTCTGCGTGAGCAGAGGCGTAAGCGAAAGCGTAGGCGGCGGCAATGTTTTTCAGCCTGAAGAGGTACGGGGATGGTGCCACCGCTGGGCTCCGCTCCACCTGAGTCGATTCCTCAGGGAGTGGCAGGGCAGAGCTTGACGATGGGACGTCGCTGCGCGCTACTGGCGTCTCTCCCCTGCCTAGGCTTAGGCTAGACAGGTCCCTAGCTAGGGACTCTGTACCAACAGCCGGGCAAGGGATGTCGGCGGAGTGCGGCGCGTAGCCCTGAGTTCGCGTGGCATCGGAGTAGTCCCGCTCGCGTCGTGCCTGGCGAGCGTGACGAGAGCGGTGGCCCGGGCGCCGCCTGCGCCCAGGCTACCGATGCGCGACGTCGTCGCTGGCCGGTGGGGCTCTGGGTGTGAGGAGTACCATATCGTACTCACATCCTAGAGCCATGAACTCTAGGCTCCCAAACCAGACCACCGTGCCGAGACATAGTGGACGTATGGGGTCAGCCATCCGGAACTTGTTGGAACGATCATGCTAACACGCAGAGGCCCCTACCTGGCGCGCCAACTGTCGGTGTTTCGGACCGGGGGGTCCTCAACCAACCAGTAAATGTGAACTGCGTGCCCCTAATCCCGGATGGTGATGCAAAGAGACACAAGGTTTATACTGGTTCAGGCAATCGGTGCCCTACGTCCAGTCTAGGAGATCGATCTTGTATTCTTTGCACCGAAGTGCTTGTAGTAGGGGGTTACAAGCTGGGTGAGAGAGGGAGCTAGTCCTAGGTCTCGGCGTGGAGTGGTGCGGGCTGCTTGAGTCGTTGCTCTCAGGCAGCGTGGGAGCGTGCGTGAATTGAGTGAGTGTGTTTTGCGCGTGAGGGCCGGCGTGGTCTCGATCCATAGAAACGGCCCTGGCTGCTTCCTTTTATAGCTACAAGGAGGGAGCCAGGAGTACATGAGAGAGCTACACGTGGAGCCTTAACGAGGAAGGAAGATCCAGTACTGTGGCCTACTCCTGTAGCAGCACAGTGTCGGGAATGACAATTGGTACTTGATCACTGGTGCGTCGTCATGCGGCCATGCACGAATTTGTTGAAGTCGAGGGGTCCTCGTTGACGTTTAGTCAGCATGGCCTCCTCTGTATGTGACATGCCGTGCCTCGTGAATTTTTGACTTGGTGGTTCGCCGAGGCCTGACAGGTGTTTGTGGCCGACCGCGCCGAGGCCTGATTTGCCAAGGCCTGGGAGGTGACCTGAGTACGATGCGGCGGTCTCGGTGGTGGTCGTCGTCACCCGGTTTAGGTGGAAAAATGCAGGGCGTGTGTCCATAAAGCACGGTAGTCCCTGCACCGTCGGTGGGGAATGGTAAAAAGGAGATTTGACCGCCGTCCATCGCCCCTGTTGCTATGCCACGCCAATCGTGGGCGACGTAAAGGCGCAACCGAAGTACTTACACGGATGGGACGGCCGCCCGGAAGAGGGGCGATTGAGGCGGAGGCAGCGAGGATGCGGGGCGAGCCCGGCCTCGGCCGAGGCGGAGAAGGAATAGTACGTCCGAGACCACAGCCAGGGGGTCTCGGACGGCGAGAACAAAGCGGTTGGGCTCTCCGGCGGTTTACGAGACTACGAGGACATGGACTTGACCTTCCATGCTGCTTTGTCCTGGCAGCACGGGGTTAGGTAGCACGATGATAAACACGATGGCGAGTAACCCCTATGCGCCCGGTCCCCTGTCCCGTCGGTCGTTTCGCCCGTCTTACTACAAAAGTGCGGTGACGTTTATGGAATAGTTGTGCGCATTAATCTGGACGTGACGTTTCGTCAGAGGAGTTTGGTCGGGACGGAGGTTACGAGTATGTTTGCCGAGCCCGGCCTCGAGCGAATTGGAGAATTGACATCCCATCCGAGGCCTTTCGGGGTTACGAGTATGCTTTTGGCCTTTCGTATGAGGCCTCGGCGCAAGGCCTCGAGCGAATCGGAGAATCCTGCAGAGACATGGCGGTAGTCTTTTGACTTTGATTTTTGCAAGGTCTAAGCAACATTTTTGGTTCTTGCTTAGGGTACCCCTTCTTGTGGTATCCGACACTATCTTTGATGGATTATCGGATTACCTATCTCTACTTGTGTCTATGTTTAGCCATTTTATTTGTTGATTGTTCTGCTAGAGTGAAAAATGTTTGAGTAGATACCTGCTTTCTGTTTTTTTATATATTTATATACTTGCCATATCGGTGTATACTTGTTTTTGGAAAATGACATATCACTGTATCGCTACATCTGTATCGGCGTATCAATATCCCGTATCTGTGCATCCCAGTTCTCTGGTCGCTCCCGGTGCCGGACTATGCGCAGGAACGATCCTGACATGTGGCTAGAAGAAGTAAAAATCATGTCATTTAACTTCTAGTTTTAGCTTATTTTAGACATATAAACAGCTCATAAAAGCTATTCCAAACAAGACATAAATGTTCGTATACCCAACAAACGACTGAAGTAGCGAACTGTGCATAGTTCAGCTAGTTGGTTCCTTGTGGTGGAATCTGCCCACTCGAGTTTAAGTCTTCGACCTGACACGGATGCTCGTATTTTTCTAGATTTATTCTAGGATTTAACAGTGTTATTCTTTCAGTGGTATACGACGCGTCCGTCGACAAGTTCATAGGGGTGAGTATGCGCTCGTGTACGTGAGCGTTATGGGTCTCGCAAAAAAAAAGACTGAATTAACTTTTTGTTTGCTGATGAAACTAATACCGCCGCTTGCTGATCTCAATGATGCGGGGCTAGGTGTACTTGGTATACATCATACAAAAGCAGGGTATTTTCTCCGTGAAAAACATAATGATGCGGGGCCAGGGCAACCTGGGATCTTCCCCTGGGGACTGGTAGGCGTAGGCCACTGTACCGGCCTGATGAAAATGCAAACAAAGAAACAAAAACTAAACATGGGTACTTTAGTGACAGATTATTGCGACTACGAAGCTGGCTCTGTTTCGGTGTGCAATGAGGGTTACTGGATAGGATAGCGCTGACGGCATGCTCTGTTTGAGTGTGCTCTGTTCTGTGAATCACGTACAACGTGCCCGGTCCCAATTCTTCAGATTGTTTATCCTTCGAAAAATCACGTCTAGCTTGTGTTGCTGATTACGTGTACGCGGAGTAGGATCATCGGTACTTGTTACTTCATGGTTTTCTACTACTCCAGTTTGTAGTACCACCCCAGCGGCATACATACAGATCTTTTGTTGGATTGCATCGACCATTAATCGCGAGCAGCGACTTTTCTCCCAAGTCAATGAGGATATATGTGTGTCGGGTATGTGTGCAATGCAAAGAGCTGCTAATAGTGAGATCGGAAGGAAATGGAGAGAGCAACAGCGGAGCCACACTTCGTGCTCGTTCCGTGGCAAGGAGGCATCAGCCACATCATCCCTATGACCGACATCGGCCACCTCCGGGCCTCCCACGGCGCGGCGGTGACCATCATCCGGTCCCGCGTGGAAGACCTCGCAACAACAAAGCTACTACCTCTACCTCCGGGCGCCGGCCCGGCGGGGACGACGATCACGGTCACCGCGATCCCGTTCCCAGCGGCGGAGGCCGGCGGCCTGCCCGAGGGCTGCGAGAGGCTGGACCTCCTCCGGTCTCCCGCTGACGTGCCGCGCTTCTTCGCCGCCACCAGCCACTTCGGCGAGGCGGTGGCGCGCTACTGCCGCGGCAGCGAGGCCATGCTGCGCCGCCGACGACCGAGCTGCGTCGTCGCCCCGATGTGCCACTCGTGGACGCTCGGCTTGGCGCGCGGGCTCGGCGTGGCGTGCTACATCTTCCACGGGTTCGGCGCGTTCGCTCTGGTCTGCATCGAGTACCTCTACAAGCACAGGCCACAGGAGGCGGTTTCGTCAGCGGACGAGCTCGTCGACATCCCAGTCCTGCCGGCGTTCGAGTGCAGGGTGTCACGTTTGCAGCTACCGCCGCATTTCGCGCCGTCGACGCCCATGGGTGCTGGGACGACGATGCAGGAGCAGCGACGGAGCCAACGGTGGGGCTGGGGGGCTTTAGCCCCCCTACCAATCCTCAGCACGTGGAGCCCCCTATGTCCCCTCTTAAAATTTTATGTATATATGTATTAGGTAGAATGTGCTAAGGTTAAGAGAAGATAAAAAAAAGTCTATATTCTTTTGTTCAGCTCCTCCTAAATTTTTTTCTGGCTTCGTCCCAGTGCAGGAGATACGAGACTTCGACGTGGCCGTGGACGGCGTGGTCGTGAACAGCTTCGACGAGCTGGAGCACGACTCCTGCGAGCTTCTCGCGGCGGCGACCGGCAAAACCGTCGTCGCCGTAGGCCCCGTCTCGCTGTGCCGGTCACCTCATCTTGATCCACAGGCCATGACAGACGAGGCTGGGCTCCTCAGGTCGCCATCCTAGCTCACCGCGCCGTCGGCGGCTCCCTCACGCACTGCGTGGGTGGGGCTCGACTCTGGAGGCCATTGCCGCCAGCATGCCCATGGCAACTTGCCGCTTTTCGCCGAGCAGTTTCTCAACGAGAGGCTCATCGTGGACGTGCTTGGTGTTGGGGTATCCGTAGGCGTGACAAAGCCAACAGAAAATGTCCTCAGTGCTGGTAAGCTCAACCGCAGCATAGCGGATGTCAAGGCGGAGGTGGGTATGGAACAAAAGTTAAATTAAATGTGCCCTCAAGGATATGTGCTCTCACCATCTCCACCATTGCATTCGCATTGAGAAGTGTGCACGCACACATCTCAATGCGAATCTGCATTGAGATGTGTGTATGCACACTTCTCAATGCGAATCCAATGGCGAAGGTGGTGAGAGCACATGCTGTTAAAGGCAAAAAAATCGCCTCTGTGGAACAAAACCCGTGGCGAAGGCCTTGGAGTGGCTGATGATCAGGGCGACGTAGGGGAGAAGAGAAGGAGGAAGGCTCAGGAGCTAAAGGCCAAGGCAAATGGAGCATTAGAGAAGGGTGTCGTCCTACATGAATTTGGAGAAGCTAATCCAATCTTTGGTTTCATGATTGATTAGTTACCATGTCACATTTAATTAGGTTTTTCTGAATAAACTAGCTGGTGTTCAGCCTTGTGATGAGTGATTTACAACTCATCAAATTTGTTTCATGTCTTTGAGATTATCAGCCTGTTCGCTTATTGGTTTCAGCCAGGGCTTATCAGCCAGCCAACAGTGTTTTTCTCTCACAACAAACCAGCACCAGCTGGACTTATCAGCTCAGAAACTAACCAGCGAACAGGCTGTATATAAGCAGGTTTATATATATCATTTATTATGTGTTTGAGAGACTTGTCTGAAGGTAGTGGAGGACTTGAGATGTGATGCAGTGATGGAGTCGAACCACTATATAACCTATCGTGTGATCCATTGAATATCAATTTGAAGTTACGGCAAAGTTACTCCTAAGAATACAGGGGCTTGTTTGGTTTCGACCTAAGAGCATGTTTAGAGCCTAATTAGGAGCATTAAACATAGATTAATTACAAAACTAATTGCATAAGCCGTGGCTAATTTATGAGACGAATTTATTGAGCTTAATTGGTTCATGATTTGTCAATGTGTGTGCTAATAATAGATTAATTAGGCTTAATAGATTCGTCTTACGAATTAGCCATGGCTTATGCAATTAGTTTTATAATTAACTCATGTTTAGTCTCCCTAATTAACATCCAAACATCCGATGTGACCCTAACAGTGTTAGATTTTTTTTTTTGTGTTGATGTTCTAATTTTTCCAAATACGCATGATCACTTGGCTTGATTTACCTAATACATGCGATTGCTCAATTTAGTTTGCCGAGTGTATATGGGTTGATGACAAGGAATTAAAGAGATATATCTTAAGCTTAGCAGCATTGTTCAGGGTTATGATTGTTTTGTCACATGAAGTTTTAGACACCAATAACATCAGACAAGTTTGGACACTGCAGACAATTTGGTCGATTGGTTGGCCTCTTCAGAGAGGGTCTGGTATCTCACGAGATTTATGCACTGGTTCAGAGGGCAGGCATTGATAGATGAAGTATTATGAACCAAGCTATTGGGATTTATTATTTCTTTTGAGATGAAAGAAAAATTATATTAAAATATAGCTGAGTACATCGTCATATTACAAACATTTTGGGATACAATTCGTATACCTAGAAACTGTTCGTCATCTAATATAGCTCAAAATCTCAATCCTAAACCTATATGATGATTCATATTGATGACCGCACAGGCAAACACTCAGCAAAACGTCTGAGAACAGATGCCCAACGAACGATGGCCAACATTCATACGAGCAGAGTTGAGAAACTTCTTCTTTCTTGTGTCTTTCTTCTTCTTCCATCTACCACCAAAGAATAGAGAAAACTAATCTGAATCTTCCCAACTCAATACCGGTAATTGGCTCGAGGGGGCAGATTTATTCTCACTAGTGCTTCATCATGGTCAGATCTAACCACAACGAAATAAAGAAGAGACCGGAGAAATTATTCCATTGAGGCAACATCATCTCCGCCTTGATGTCGCCGTTCCGCCTTGATGTCGCCGTTTGAAAATCTAAGTCTCCATGTTGTCATGCTGTGGAAGTTGCTGATGCCTTAGTTGTCGCCCTTGAATCGCTATTGGGATTTATTATGCAAAGCATATGTATGTGAGCACAAGTATTTGCATGGCTGGATTTTTCAGATTATCTATTAACAGCACGCGAATGCAAAGATATTTGTCAAGTTATGATCCCAAACATGTCTGATCTTTCCGAAGACTGGTCTGCGGTTTCCAGCAACAATACGAGAATTTGTTTGGATTTTTGGATATCAGCGCATATATGGCAACAAAATACAAAGTCCAAATTCAGCACGTGTGTGTACGCCTGACGTGAGTGCAGGAACCTAGGCGCAGCATGATATTACATTCTTACTTGCATATTCGGATATGGAGAAAGAGGGAAACATGAACCGGAATCTAGCATGGAGATATGGAATTCTGCATCTGCAAGCTACAGCGCAGTTCTGTTTGCTTTGGAACCCCACCAAACATAAAACACGAATGAAAAAGCAAGCCATTCTCTGCCGTCCCTTTCTTCTTCAGCTCTCCTGGGCTCCCTTTCCTCTGCTCCAGCTACACCGACGCAATGATAATGGAGAAAGAAGGTGTTGTAGCCACCGAAAGGATGTGGTCTGGAGGACTAGACGTGGGGGCATCCATAGTTCAAATACGATGGGTGCAAAAGAAGATGCGGATAAGCAATAATTTTGCCTTTTGCTGTAGCCACATCTAATCCTGTCCCCTTGTATATCTTCCATTGATTTCCTTCATCTCTCATCTTCGGTTCTGTTCCAAGGTAGCAGCAAGAGCCGAGCTGCAAGCTTGGCGCTGCTGGCGGAAGCAACATCGAATCCGGCAACCAGTGGAGCGTGATTCGTGACTAGCGGTGGCCGGAGACTGGGTGAGTCCTAGCTCGTGCTCCTCCGAATAGCTCCTAGAGTTCAGTCCTCTGAATACCTCCGCGGCACATTCATCTCCACACTTTCCTCACACTCCTTGTGTTCGTCCAGGATATGATCCATGGAGATCGTAACGGGGGCAATACCAAGCGTCATCACCAAGCTCGGTGATCTCCTTATTGGGGAGTACAACCTGCAAAAGGGCGTGAAGGGGGAGATCAGGTTTCTCCAATCTGAGCTTGAGAGCATGAAAGGTGCCCTTGACATGGTCTCTAGCACGCCACTAGACCAGCTTGACATTCAAGACAAGATCTGGGCTAGGGATTTGAGGGAGCTGTCCTATGATATAGAGGACACTATCGACACATTTATGATGCACGGAAAGGGCCATGAGTCAGCCAAGCTGCATGGTATTAGAAAATTCGTTGATAGAAGTGTTGGTTTGTTCAGAAAGGCTAAGATTCGCCGTGTGATTGCTACCGAGATAAAAGACATCATGGGTCGTGTCACTGAGGTGCACGAGAGGCGCCTCAGGTACGGTGTTGTTAACAATGGTGTTGATAAGCCTACCACAACTACTGTGGTGGACCCTCGTTTATTTGCTCAGTACACCGACACAAAAGAGCTTGTTGGAATTGATGAGTCAAGAGACGAGCTAATCAAGGTACTGATGGATGGTAATGGAGTACCCTTGCAGCAAGGCAAGATAGTTTCCGTTGTCGGATTTGGGGGCCTCGGAAAGACTACTCTTGCCAAAGCAGTGTATGACAAGATTAGAGCATTATTTGATTGTTGTGCTTTTGTCTCGGTATCCCAGACTCCAGACATCAAGAAATTATTCAAGGGATTGCTCTATGATCTTGGCAAAAGCATCAATGAAGAAACATTGGATGAGAGCCGGCTCATCAATCAACTTAGAGAATTCCTTAAATCGAAAAGGTACGGAAGCATTTATGCCATCAGTTTATACATATAAAGTTTTATTTTACGACCTCCATTTCATAAAAGTGTGTATGCACACGGTTAGTGAGAAATTTCATGCATGTCCTGGTAAAGAAAATACAACCACTTAAGCTTTTTCACATCATTAATGAGTGGAAATGAAATTGCAGTGACAACAATCTTCTTTTCCGAGGTGCAATTATTTTTTTATTTGGAAAAGATATATTCTTAACGGACAATTTTGTTTACATAGTTGCTAATCCAATTGGACCTAACTATCTCAGGTTTAAGGTGTTTGTAACTTAATCCAATTGATTCTAATTGTATTTTCCTCCTAGGTTAGTTTTTACTGACAATTTACTGTATGTATAGGTATCTTGTTGTTATCGACGACATATGGGATATCTCAGTCTGGAAACTGATTAAATGTGCTTTGCCTGATAATGATGTTGGATATATAGTTATTACAACTACACGTAATGTTGATGTTGCTGAAAAAGCCGGTGGTGCTTACAAGTTGAAACCCCTTTCTGAGAATAACTCAAGGAAATTACTGTACAGAAGAGTATTTGGTAATGAAAACAGCGACAACAGTGAATACACAGAAAAATGCCCGGATGAGTTGGCTGAATTATCTGATAGAATACTAAAGAAATGTGCTGGTGTACCTTTGGCTATTATTACGATGGCTGGTCTGCTAGCTTGTAAAGCAAGAAATAAGATGGATTGGTATGAGGTGTACCATTCCATTGGTACCGGTCTCGAGAATAATCTTGATGTGGAGAATATGAGAAAGATTTTGTCATCTAGCTATTATGATATGCCATCCCATCTAAGGACTTGCTTATTATATTTGAGTATTTTTCCGGAAGATTATATAATCGAAAAGGATCGTTTGATATGGATGTGGATAGCCGAAGGCTTTATCCAGTGTGAGAAACAAGGAAAGAGCCTATTTAAACTTGGAGAGAATTATTTCAATGAGCTCATAAACAGAAGTATGATCCAACCCATATATGGCCTCTATGACATTGTATATGAATGTAGTGTACATGACATGGTGCTTGATCTTATCTGTTTTTTATCAAGTGAAGCAAACTTTGTGACTATATTGAATGGTAAGGACCAAGTGTCTCCATCAAGTAAGATTCGGAGGCTATCCATTCAAAATGGCAAAGAAGACGATTCTGCGACTCTGACACATAGGAGCTTGCAACAAGTAAGGTCAGTTGTTGTCCTGGGACCGGTCTCTAGTCTAATACCAGTTTTTCAAAGTTTCCAAGTTTTACGTGTGTTGGATTTACAACACTGTGATCTTTCAGATGATAACAGCCTTAATAAGTGCCTTGGGAATCTATTTCACTTGAGGTACCTAGGACTACGTACAACACGCATCGTGGAGCTCCCTGAAGAAATAGGAAACTTGCAATTTCTACAAATGCTGGGCACTCGGTATAATGAAATTTCTTGCTTGCCATCAAATGTTGTTCAGCTTAAACATTTGATGTGCCTGGACATGCACATGTCAACGAAAGTGCCAAATGGTATTGGGAGGCTAACTAGCCTTGAAAAGCTGTCAGTTTTAAGCGTTGATGAATCCAAGATAGGCATTATAGAAGAGCTGGGTCAGCTGACGGAACTGAGGGTACTCCATATTTCATTGGATGAATGGAATGACAAGCTTGTCAAGTGCCTACACAAGCTGCAAAAGATCCAAGATCTTATTATCTTAAGCCAGGATGATGAAAGGAACATCGGTGGATTGGATGCCTGGGTCGCCCCTCAACATCTCTGTAGTTTGTATACACAATGGAGCTGCTGGTTCTCAATGCTGCCGGCATGGATGAAACCGTCACTTGTTCCGGGCCTCTGCTGGCTATCCATCGCCGTTAGGGAGGTACAGCAGGCCGATCTCGACATCCTCGGGATGTTGCCTGCTCTCCGCTATCTAAGTCTTCTTGCGGACCATGAGGATCTCGGAATCCTTGTGGGGTTCGTGGTTTGTGCTGGTTCGTATGCATGCCTTAGACACTGCCAGTTCCGTGGATTTGTTGGACCTGTGGTGTTTCAGCATGGAGCTATGCCGAGGCTTAGAGGCCTTGATTTATGGCTGTCTGTAGGATGGGCGAGAGAAATCGCCAGCAGCTATGGTGGTGCTCTCGACTTTGGCATAGGGAACCTTGCTTCGCTCCAGGAGGTTTTTGTTTCTTTGGATTCTGAAGCCGCCAGCGACGAATTGGTGGCTGCGCTGAAGCATGCCTTTAATATCCACCCCAATCATCCACAACTCCGGATAAACGGGAAACTAGTTGAAAGCACAGGTGTGCTACCCTACCTACCGTAGTTCAAACATCCATTGATCAAATCTTCCTCTCTCTGTTTTCCCTTTCTTCTAAAATTATTTTCTACTGCTTCAATTCTATCTCGGTTTCAGATGAGAAATGACGGATTGGGAAAAGGATCTCTAACCATGCAGCTGCAATCAATCCGAATCAGCCAATGCTTTGAGGTGGGAGTGGCCGCCTGGGCCACATAAAAGAGGTGAAAATGTGCGCTGGCTTACAATTGTTGTTCTTTATTGTTGCCTCTTTCCTTTTCCCCTTTTTTTTGCAAACCTTAATTTCTCCTGTTTCTCTCATTCAAATTCACTTATCTGCAACCCGCAATTAATTGTTGGTTAAATTGCAACCTCTATAAACTGAATTTGTTTGTGTTAATTAAAATTTCAAAACCTTGGAGCACAATGAGACTTACAGCGACTAAGACCTGCATTTTGAGAAAAAATGTTACGTACCTGGAACTGACAGAATCGGGTATGCAAATGTTGAAGAGCATTTAAAAAATACCAAGCACCTACTACTGTGATGTCCACGCTGTGCATGATTTCTGCCTACTTGGAGGTCTTCCTACTATGCTAAATTTTAGTCTTTTAGTTTTTTTAATAATGGAACAAGGTTCCAGTATTATTGTCTTTTACAAACATTAGTAACAAAGGCTGCTCATTTTTTGAGGTCCCATGCTTCTCACGGGGTGTCATCTAGGTCACCGAACTTGTCATGAGGATATATGTCCCAAAGGCCAAAACTTGTGACAAGGTATCATTTGGATCCAAATGGGCATAGAACCGCTCCTATGCCTAACATCACATGACACAACAGATCCCCTTGGCTTAGTTCTTGACTTGTGCATCCCATACGAGGGTAAGGTCACATGTCGCCATTTGCCACTCCCATCTCCTTACGGGCTTTCCCTTATACCTGCAGTTTACTTAAAAGTTTCATCTGCATTTAATAAACTGCCAAATATGCAATGTTCTCAAGAGAGAAGAAGCTTAGTTTCATACTCTCTTGGCACGATTATCAACCATCTATACGTCATAAAATTAAATGTATATGAAACCATAGAATGAAACTTTCTATTAACACCGGGTGTTTCATCCATGTTTCATTTCATTCTATATGACTTAAAAACAACGCCATGAATGTTCCTACGGAGACTGGCCTAAGCAGCATCTAGGTTTTATTTGCATTTAATACAATGACACATTAGCAGATTTGGTGTGGCATGTTAATTATGAAGGGAGAAACATAGAGTTTCATAGACTAGTGCCAACACAAAAAACTGATGTGACAGTCTTGGTAATAACGCGATGACATTCACCCCTAACAGCGGCCTTATAAGTAGTACTAAATAGGACCTAAGTGTTAACATACTAGCCTTTTGATCAATCTATCAAACTGAAGCCACTTTTCTTTAACGAAATTAGTACTGTCGCTTTCCGATCTCTATGATGCGGTGCCAGTGCAATCTCGGATCCGCCAATGTACCTGCCTGTGGGCCTGATGAAACTGCAAACACATAAAGAAAAGACAAAACACTGGCTGTTTCGGTGTGCAACGTGGTTACTGGATAGGATAGTGGTGACCGCATGCTCTATTTCGGTATGCTCTGTTCTGTGAATCACGTACAATGTGACCAGCCTCAGTTCTTCAGATTGCTTATCCTTTGAAAAATCAGGCCTGATTACGCGTACTCGGAGCTGTCATAGCTGCCTGCGATGTCACGGATTACGCAGGCTCATCGGTACAGGTTACTTCATGGTTATGGAGTACAGTTTGTAGTACAACCAGCTCCAGTGCAAAGTACACATACAGATCCTCTCTGTTGGTGCGAGCTGCGACATTTCTCCGGTTTGACGTAGCTCAGCTTCAACAGTGAATCAGTTTTTATTGGCGTTGGTTGTATGAGCAGCTTTATGGTTGTACAACCTGCTCCAGTACAAAGTACACATAATGATCCCGTGTTAGATTGGATGGACCATTAATTAATCGCGAGCCTAGACTTTTTCTCAAAGTCCATGAGGATATATGTGTGCATGATGGCCTCACATGATCGTCGTGTAGAGAAAAGTCCAACTCAGCAGCACATGGTTATTCAGTTCAGGTGCCGCCAAAAGTCATCCGCAGCAGAGAAAAAGTCCACCGGTGAAGTTGCTCCTGCCAATGAAGCAGAGCTGTACCAAAGGCACCTTGCTTCATGCATGGTTCACAATTGCACGTGCCGCCAAAAGTCCACCGCAGCAGAGAATTATTAGCCGCCATGGAATGGAATAGGCCACCAACTCCTACAGGCACCTGTTATCATGTCGACACTCGACACCGTACTAGCTCCACCAGGTAGGAGTAGCAGCCAAGCATACCCACATGGCTTTGCATATACTCCGATGCGTAAGAGTATATAACAAACGGTGGCAGCCCGACAGCTCTCTGCAGTCTCTTCACAGGGAACAAGATACGTAGACCATTTGCGACGAGAGTGTGAGATTGAGATCACAAGGAAAATGGAAAGCGCCACAAAGGAGCCTCACTTCGTGCTGGTTCCATGGCAAGGAGGCATCAGCCACATCATCCCCATGACCGACATCGGCCGCCTCCTGGCCTCCCACGGCGCGGCGGTCACCATCATCACGACGCCCGCCAACGCCGCACTCGTCCGGTCCCGCGTGGAAGACCTCGCAACAACAACACCACTACCACTACCTCCGGGCGCCAGCGCCGGCGCGGCGGGGACGGTCACGGTCACCGCGATCCCGTTCCCAGCGGTGGAGGCCGGCCTGCCCGAGGGCTGCGAGAGGCTGGACCTCCTCCGGTCTCCCGCGGACGTGCCCCGCTTCTTCGCTGCCAACGGACTGTTATGCCGCGCCGGCCCAGCTGTGTCGTCGCCGGGATGTGCCACTCGTGGGCGCTCGGCTTGGCGCGCGAGCTCGGCGTGCCGTGCTACATCTTCCACGGGTTCGGCGCGTTCGCCCTGCTCTGCATCGAGTACCTCTACAAGCACAGGCCACACGAGGCGGTTTCGTCAGCAGATGAGCTCGTCAACATCCCAGCCCTGCCGGCGTTCGAGTGCAGGGTATCGCGTTTGCAGCTACCGCCGCATTTCGCACCGTCGACGACCATGGGTGGTGGGACGATGCAAGAGATACGGGAGTTCGACGTGGCCGTGGACGGCGTGGTCGTGAACAGCTTCGACGAGCTGGAGCACGGCTCCTGCGCGCTTCTCGCGGCGGCGACCGGCAAAACCGTCGTCGCCGTTGGCCCCGTCTCGCTGTGCCGGTCACCTCATCTCGATCCACAGGCCATGACGACAGACGATGCCAGGCGGGTTATGGAGTGGCTGGACACCAAGGAGACGAGGTCTGTGGTGTACGTCAGCTTTGGCAGCGCCGGGTGCATGCCACCGGCACAGCTGATGCAGCTAGGCATGGCTCTAGGGTCCTGCCATTGGCCTGTCGTCTGGGTCGTCAAGGGCGCCGACTCCATGCCCGACGATGTCAAGAAGTGGTTTCGTGAGACCTTCGACAGCAAGAAGTGCTTGGTAGTGCGAGGCTGGGCTCCCCAGGTCGCCATCCTGGCTCACCGCGCCGTCGGCGGCTTCCTCACGCACTGTGGGTGGGGCTCGACTCTGGAGGCCATTGCCGCCGGCATGCCCATGGCGACTTGGCCGCTTTTCGCCGAGCAGTTTCTCAATGAGAGGCTTATCGTGGACGTGCTTGGTGTTGGGGTATCTGTAGGCGTGACAAAGCCAACGGAAAATGTCCTCAGTGCTGGTCAGCTCAACGGAAGCAGAGCGGATGTCGAGGCGGAGGTGGGTATGGAACAAGTGATGAAGACTTTGGACAGGTTGATGGATGAGGGTGACGAAGGGGAGCAGAGGAGGAGGAAGGCTCAGGAGCTCAAGGCGAAGGCAAATGGAGCATTAGAGAAGGGTGGGTCGTCCTACATGAATTTGGAGAAGCTCATCCAATCTTCGGTTTCATGACTGAACAAGTCAATAATTAATACGTGACATTAAATTATGCTTTGCTGAATAAAATAGCCGGTGTTCAAGTCATCAAATTTGTTTGTTGTCTTTGAGATTACATGAGCAAGTTTAGATAGTTTATTATGTATGTTTATGTTTGAGACTACGTAGTGAGAAAAGTCGCAGCCCGCGAATAATGGTCGATCCAACACAGGATATGTACGTGTTCTTTGCACTGGCGAGGGTTGTACTACAAACATTTTTTTGAAAGGCACGGTGGACTTTTCGCGGGACATGCACCATGCATGTGTGTCTGTGCATGTGCCTGGAACCAGAGCTAGGGGTGTCCAAACATCCGTAGGGATTAAATTTTAGGGTAACCAAACACCCCTTAGCACATGGACAAGTCCAAAGCTTTTTAGGGTAACCAAACACCCCTTAGCACATGGACAAGTCCAAAGCTAGCTTCTTTTGTTGACTACTTCAGCGGTGGACTTTTTCTGAGCTGCGCAGGACTTTTGGCGGCACCTGAAGTGAACCATGTGCTGCGGAGGTGGACTTTTCTCTACACGACGAGCATGTGAGGCCATCATGCACACATAACCGACAAACATGAAAAGCTTCTGCCACGTACCAGAAGAAGAGCTCCACACGTGAACACAGCCTCGCGTCTGGCGTCTGGCGTGCTAGGTCTCGCGTCTCGCACCGCCAGCGCCGCCGCCGGCCCACGGCTCCACCACCGCTGTTTCCCCTCCCTTACCTTCCGGCATATCACAGGAGGCTAGAGAAAGCGAGGATCTATCATTTTTAATAAATTTTTGCAGTAGATTAAGTCCTGGAAGTTAAGATCTCTTCGTGTCAAGGTTTTTGGTTTTGAAGATTTATCTCCTCCTCCTCTTCGGCAACGGCGAGAGGGCAGGGTGGAATCGTTTTTTTCCATGGCGGCTCCGTTGAAGATGAGGGTGGCAACTACGGCGTTAGCATCCTCACCGGTACGACATGGAGACTTTTATTTCTGAGCCGCGACATCAAGGCGGAGATATTGTCGCCGCCATGAAATAATTTTCTCCGATCTATTCTCCGTTTTATTGTGGTTGGATCTGGGCACGATGAAGGATTAGAGAGAATAAGTTTCATCAGTCTTCCTCGTTCTTCGGAGAAAGAAAGAAGAAGGAAGACAAAAAAGAAGTTTCTCAACTCCGCCTACATGAATATTGGACGTCGTTCGTTGGACATCTGTTCTTGGACTTTTTGCCGAGTGTTTGCCTGTGCGGTCATCCATACTACAAAGCTTAGTATACGTTTGGTTTTGAGATCTGGAGCTATTCATCGTGTGGGTACATTTTAGATGAAAATCAGTTTTTGAATACTTATGTAATCTAGAGTGCTTGTAACGTGTTGATATACCCAGCTATTATCGAATATAATTTTTTCTTTGGTCGCAAAAAAAAAAACCCCGACAAACATATATCCTCATGGTGTCATGGACTATGAGAAAAATCGCAGGTCGCACCAACACACAGGATCTGTATGTGTACTTTGTACTGGTGCAGGTTGTACTACAAACTGGAGTAGTATATAACCACGAAGTAACGTGTGCCAATGAGCCTGCGTAATCCGTGACACGTCATCACACCTATCACAGCTCCGCGTATATAAGTAATCAGCAACGCAAACACAGGGCACAGAACAGACCACACCGAAACAGAGCATGACGCACAGAACAGAGCACACCGAAACAGAGAATGGGCATTTGTGTCTGCCTCTAAAGATTGAGGCATTTGTAGCCTCTACAAATGCATTATTAGATAGCATAAAGGAATAATTTGGAGTTGTAAATATAATGTCGTTTTTTCTACTATATGTTTTCTTGCATGTTGTATGTCAAACTCTGCCTCCTACTTAATGAAAAGGCATAAGACTTGCCAAGCTTTGCTAAAAAAAAAATACTTGTCTATAGTGCTCTGATTGCATTGATTTTGGTATTGACCCTCCTTCCATTGGAGCAAGACTAATAATATAGCTACCTGCTAGCTACAAGGATCTTTATAGCCTAGCTCTTAACCCAGTCTAAGCTGACTGTAATCTTACAGCCCACTTCTCCTATCTTTTCTCTCCTCTCTCCTCCAACTGAGCATCCAGCCCGCTTTTAGCCTGTTATTATAATTGCTCTTCTAATCCTGTTTTTCTTGATTACAATGCCGCTTTTGTTTAAATCCAGCTGCTAAAGTTTAGGGGTGTCACATCAGGTGTCACATGAGGTGTCACATGGAGAGTGTTCGGATAGTAATAAAAAAATAAATTACACAAGTTCTCAGTAAGCCGCGAGACAAATTTATTAAGGCTAATGAATATGTCATTAGCATATATTTACTGTATCACCATATTGTCAAATCATGAACTAATTAGGCTTAAAAAATTTGTCTCGTAAATTAGTCTCAATCTGTACATTTAGTTTCGTAATTAATCTATATTTAATACTCCATGCATGTGTCTAAACATCTGATATGATTAGAACTAAAGTTTAAGAGGGGGAAACAAACCAGGCCCAGACCTGATTCCTTTGACCTCGGCATTTGTCCCTTCCATGATGACTGCTAGTCGAGAAAGCGACCTTATGAATTCAGTAGCACGAGAGGAGATCTCAAAGGGGAACATGAAAATTCAAACCGGGAACCTTCCAAAATGGACTGGACAAACTTGCATTGTTGCAGTGGATAGATCCGGTAGGTCCCCAAAACCGGAGTCAATTCTTCCAAGGAAAAATCATCATGGGTGATTCTAAACAAATATGCACAAAGACATATGGCGTTGTAAACTAGATTGAGAGTGAATTCTAAAGCATGGCCATGGAGTAAGCTTCGCGGCAACGTTGAACAAAACCAGTTGATGGATTTCTACAATGTATATATAGCTAGACGACATCCAAATAAGTGGACAATCAAATTGGTCAACTAACATGGAAATTAATAAGTCCTAAATTGCTGCATAGTTCATCCTTCCAGCGAGCCCAAGTTGCCCAACTCATGGGAGGAGGAGTGCACATTAGCAAGAACGAACACCACCACCTCCGAATGCACAATTCTCATCTTCTGCCATGATCAGGTGGAGCCCTTCACCACGAGAGTGCAACCTGCAGAAGTTTCTTTTTAATAAAAGAAAATGGTTTGAGATCAGTTCCTACGAGGCAGTGGCTCAGCAGACAGGCCGTTACAGAGGAACGTGATGAGTTGGGTTAGGTTCATCCTGCCGTCCCAGTTCCCGCGGCCGGCCGCGACGATCAAGGCACGGCACACTGTGGCGTCCTGTGGGATGCCGAGCCTCGCCAGCACAACCTGAAGGCCCGCCGCGTCGGCGGTTGACGTCGAACACAGCGAAGGCGCGCCGCGCCTCATCGAGGGTTGGTTCCTCGGTGTTGAACAGACCGGACAGGGACAGCTCAGGCATGCCTGCCGCGATCGCAACATCGAAGACGTGCCGCACCTCCTCGATGGTTGGTTGCTCGGTGTTGAACAGATAGGACAGCTCAGGCATGCGTGCCGCCCATCTGCCTTATAAAATGGATTGGGGGAAGATGGCTTCCACCCATCTGCCTTATAAATAGAGCTCATGGGACAAAGGTTAGGGGTTTCGTTCATCACAATCCAAACCCTTGTCTCTTGCATATCCATCTCTCCTGATTGGGCTTAGATCCGACATAGAGTATAATACGTAAATTTATCTTAAATGGACAAAGATTATAGAGTATCTAAATGGGCATTGTCTTAAGAAATGAACAGACAGAGAGTAAAGATAACCAATTTTGATTAGTTGTACCTACTCAGTTACACACAAAAAACTTTAGTCTTATGTAACGTAAGATTGTAGGCCATGCAAGGGTTGATAGGCTAGTTAATACTGCCTCCTTCCTAGAATATAAGGTACTAAAGGTTCAAATTTTGTCCTAAATTATAATGGCAGATATGCTTTCAATTTTGATTAAGAGGGCAAAAGAGGATGGCCAAATTAGAGGAATCATACCTCACCTGGTGGATGATGGATTGTCCATCTTGCAATATGCTGATGATACAATTCTTTTTATAGAGCATGATTTGGAGCAAACTAAGAATATGAAATTGTTGCACAGTGTTTTGGAACAACTATCGGGTCTGAAAATTGATTTCCACAAAAGTGAATTTTTCTATTATGGTGAGGTAAAGCATTAAGAGCAGGACTATGCTCATTTTTGTTTGTTGTGAATTGGGATCATATCCGTTCCAGTACTTAGTCATACCGATGCACCACCACAAACTCTGCAATGCAGACTAGGGTGTATTGAGGAAAGATTTAGATGTAAACTAAGTATTTGGAAGGTAAAACATGTGTCCTATAGGGGCTACTTGTTTTACTAAATTCAGTCCTTAGTAACCTACCTATGTTCATGATGTCCTTCTTTGAAATACCAAAAGATGTTCCAAAGAAATTTGATTTCTATCGATCAAGGTTCTTTTGACAAAGTAACTAGAGAAACCCTTCAGTTGCTCCTAGTCTCCCGTTGCCATGGCTACCCTAGTCCTCCATCGACTCCGGCACCACTGGGAGAAGGCCTTCAAGATCAAAACACGCCATCACCTAGGCACGGCTATATACTCCGTCAGTCAGGTGTTAGAGGATGCCAGCGAAGATAGGGAGGAACGCCTCCATGGTACGGTCCCGCCATCTTGATCGTGATCCGCGGTTAGAGCATGCGGAATCAATACCATGGAGGTCCTAGCCAGAGCCGTCGAAGACCTCATCGGTCTTTGTTGGCGAGTTGGGCAGTCGAAGGGCTTCAGCACAAAATCTTACCATCGACTACGGCCCGTGTATCCATTCGGCGACTTTGGTCGTCCGTTGGCACGCAGTGTTCCTCTCTCTGTGGTCTATGGAGTAATCGGCTGAGGGAATAGATAGCCTCGTGGTTCTGCTTCTCCTCATCCTCCCACTGCTCCCATGGGGATGTTAGAGGAAGTTTCATGAGGCTGTTCCCCATCTCGATT